TGGACACATGTTAGACATAGGGCACTGGCCCAGTGTGTCCACTTCAGCTGGACACATGTTAGACATAGGGCACTGGCCCAGCGTGTTTTGTACCAAAGGCCACCCAGAGATTGGTTTCTCTCCACAGAGGCAGAAAGGACTGAAGAGTTCTGTGGTTACAATTTTAATGGCTGTGACAACTTTAACAAATTATTCCAGAAAAATACTAGAAGCCTGTTCTTGTTCAGTGCACTAAAGTGAAAAAAATGTTATTGCTATGGTCAAGCCACTGGCTCCTAGGAATTTGGAATGACATTTGATAAGTAGTTTGGCTCTTGTTACCGTGAAGTAATATAAGAAGTAGGCCTCTTCATCAAGGGAACTGAGGACATTTACTAGTAGGGGTTTTTTTAGATCTAGACCTCATGCAACTCTTGTGATGAGATGGGGTTGTTGTATGATGTGATTATTAGACCCTCAGAGATCCTGGGGGGATGATAAGACCCCTTTCCGAGGCCATATGGGTGTTCCACCAGTTAGCAGCCACCCTCTGTTTCAGCCTGTGTACAAAAGCAGGTAATTGTTCTTCCTGTACCTCTTCTCAGACACTTAAGGGCTTCGTGTGCCTAGCAACTGGCTGGAAACCAAGGACCCATAGAACATAAGTAGGAGAAAAAGGCAACATCCAGTCATTTTGTTACAGAGCAGAAGCACAGTTGGGCCAGTTGGGCCAGTTTTAGCCCCTGAGCATCCCCATCCCTGGGTGCTCCCTGGCTTCCTTATCCCCCATCTGCCTCTCACGTACATGTCCTGGTTGGACAGAGGCCCCACAAGCCTCAGTCATCCTCAGTGGATCAATGTCAAAACTGCCTGGACAGCGCTGTAGGGAATCAGTGGCCTGACGTCCATGGAAACTGCTATAGCAGACACACTCCTGATCCCGTCCAGGCTCTTGGCTGGTGTTAGTTATTTAATAAGCTATTGGGCACACTGGGTGTTCCTCGGGATATGGCACTGTAGTACTTAAGAAACTGTTGGAGCAAAGAATAAACAAACAGACCTGCCCCCTCCCGGCCCCCTGCACTCACTGGTACTCTCCATGTCACCCTGCAGAGCAGAGTCTCTGCAGAGTCCTGTCCAGGTAGCACGGGACTGGGTGCTAATAGGCCCTTGGTACATGGTCCAGGAACAAGGGTGGTTCATAGTCTACTTTCAGTTATGTAGCAGAATTGCGTATCACTAACTTGGGTGACTGTTCAACTTTCTCTTGTGTGTCAGATGCTTCCACACACTTGTGTATATCAAAGACCTGGTGGATTACAAGACACCTGCTCTCCCCCATGCCTCCTCACACCCCTGAGCCTCATTAAAGGCACAGGTGGGCTTTGGATGCCACTGATCATGGTTGATCTTGATAAAACATTTTGCTCTTGGTCTCGCTCGCTCTTTTTCTTGTCTCTTTGATAAATAAAAACCAGATGAATTTCTGTTGTTAACTTTAAAGGAATTTAATAAATGATCATCCCAATCTCGTGCCAAGACTGTATATACTACATATCAGACAAGGAGGTAGGACTTTGCATCATATGTCTGAGAATAAGAGTAGTAGCTTGTGATAATGTTGAGAACCATTCCTTTTGTTCTGCAGATACTCTGCTTGTACCGTAAGAAATCGTGAAGAGGGTTGATATGTGTTGTTTTGTGTGAATGTGTCTGAGTGTGAACGTGTGTGTGTCTGAGTGTGAGAGAGAGAGAGAAAGCACACGTTATAGAAAAGGAACTGTGACAGCCACAGGTGGGCAGGGACAGCCACAGGTGGGCAGGGCCAGCAAGTGTACCTATGCCTGTGTGTTATAAAAAAGGTCAACTTTCCTCATCCTCCAGATGCCTCCAGTCTCCAAATTCTTCATTTCCATCCCCATTTTTGTTAGCGCCATATTCTGTACATTTGGTAAATTGGATCCAAGTTGTCAGTGTGAACAGCTTATTTGAAGCCGTGTAAATTATTAGTGAAGTCTGTGTCCTTCTGGCTTTGTTTCCTGGCTTTGTAAATTTGGTTTTCCCTAAACCAAATCTAGTTTTCACAAACAAAATCTAAACCAGTGTAATCCAAACAAGCCAATGAAGAAAACAAAGAGAACTGGGGCCGCCTCCAATCACAGCTGACTCTCCACCAGGCCTGGTCCGTGCCACTTAATTTACCTTGGGTTTTTTTTTTTATTTGTGGCAAAATAGTCATAAGATAATATTTGTCTTTTTAACCATTCATAAGCATACAATTCATGGCATTAAAGACATTCGCAATGATTGTACCAGTCTTACTATCTATACCCAAAGCTCTTTCATTATCCCCAACAAAAATTCTGTGTCCAAATAATAATTCCCCTGCCACCACTGGCAACTTCTGTCACCGCTGTTCTGCTTTCTGTCTCTATGGCGTGGCCTATTCTAGGTGCCTCACGTGAGTGGAATCACGCAGTCGTTTCCCTCTTTGTCTGGCATATTTCTCCATCATATTCCCCCATCCATTCACGTAGTCCATGTCAGGATTTCCCTCCAGTTATGGCTGTACAGTATCCTGTAGTATGTACAGACCACCTTTTGTTTATCCACTCATCTCTTGGAGACAGTTTGGTTGCTTCAACCTTTTTTGGCTACTGTGAATAGCGCTGCTATAAGCATTATAGACACACAGCTGTTTGAGTCCCTGTTTTCAGTTCTTTTAGATAATATCCAGCAGTAAAATTGCGGGTTTGTTCTGTATTTAACACCTTTAGAGACTGAGTTGACTTTTGATTTAGGAAATTTGAGCAATTTGCCTGGGCTTTTCATTTTTCTTTTTTTTTGTTGTTGTTGCTTTTTTTCTGTTGTTCTTTTTCATTTGTTTTGAGTCTCACTTGTCGCCCTCCGTAGAGTGTCATGGTATCATAGCTCACAGCAACCTCAAACTCCTAGGCCTAAGTGATTCTCTTGCCTTAGCCTCCCAAGTAGCTGGGACTACAGGTGCCTGCCACAGTGCCCAGCTATTTTTAGAGACTGGGTCTCGCTCTGGCTCAGGCTGGCATTGAACCTGTGAGCTCAGGCAGTCCACCCGCATTGGCTTCCCAAGTGCTGGGATTACAGGCATGAGCCACTGTGCCCAGCTAGATTTTCAGTTTTCATTTATACAGATGTGCTATTAGCAGGATGAGTTTCCAATAAGCATTGTAAGAGTGTATATTCAAGGGGCACACTCAAAGGCTCGTCCCAGAAGCACATATGAAAACGATGGTAAGAAGACATTGCAGCCTTCCAGCCTCATCTACCCCCAGGCCTGCTCAGGGCCTGACATGGAGGCTTCTCTTTGTGACTTAGGTTTCAATGTAAAATATCACCACTTCAGAAATGCTTCTCCTTGCTGCCTAGTTTAAAAGGGCACCCCCATTTCCTCACACACTCCATCATATCACCCCTGTTGTCTTCCCTGGCACCTATCACCAGCGGGCATTTCCTTGTTCATTTAATTCCTTCCCCCTGTCCACCATCAGTTCAGAGAGAGTCAGACTTTCCCTTTGTTGCTCTTTGCTCCTTCTGTGGCATTACAGCACTGCCACACACTCACAGGGCAGCCATTGTGTATTTGCTGAGTAATTAATCCATTCTCTTCTCTTGCAGTGGTGGATACAAACGACCGATTTCTACGGAAGATCACAATTGGGCAGGCCAGCACAGAGAAGGGCTATTCTCGGCAGGTAGGTGGTGCCATCTTCCTGGAGCCTCTCTGTTCTCCCTGTGTGGTTGCCACTGGCTCGGAGCTCTCTCTGCCTCCATCCTCTCATCTTCCACCTGCAGGGGCCAGTGGCTCTGCCCCCATGTCAGGCCCTGACGATAAACTCTTACATAATTTATTGGATACCCACCCTGTTAATACCTTAGCTGCATAAATGAAAATCTCAGATAAATTGCTCAAATTTCATAAATCAAAAGTCAAACACCTAGTTACATATATTAAGTTAATAGAATGAGGTTTGAGGGTTATTTTTTTTTTTAAAGAATAATGGCTTTTTACCCAAGTATAGAGAATGTGGGAGAAAATTATAGTATCTGGCTTCATTTAAATAGGTCTCTGATATCAGTCACTGGCACTTAGGGAATGTAAATTCATTCCACCATTTTTCATCCAGGCATAGTGGACTTCTAATTTTTTTTCTTTTTGATTGGTAATAAACTTTATATTTTTAGGACAGTTTTAAATTTATGATCTTTATGTTGAGTTTTTATTAGTGGAGAAAGAGTCCCTGTACTGTGGTAAATAGACCTCATACCAAATAGACTTGGGACCTTTTGAAATATCTTCAATTAGAAAGTGAACATGGGGATTGGAGCAAGAAGAGAAACTGAACCCACACACTTTCTCTCCTCCAAATCCTGGAACTCGCACAAAACACATGCAGATTTCAAATAGAAAACCAGAAACATTGCCATAAGGTTTTGGGAAGTTTCTGAAAGATAGGAAGATGGAATTGGGTTGATGGAGAAAAGCATGCCCCAAATACAGTGTGAGTCATTTAGGGGTTCTCTAAATTCAGAGACAACAGGTATCCCATTTTCCAGACATCAGAGAGGGCCAGCACCTCTCAGGGCTAGTGGCTGTTGACAGCTTGGACAAGCTGGTAGACTGACACTTCTCCGTGACCTGTGTGTGTCAGCCTGAGGGCACTGTTGTAGTCCTGAGGCCAGTGCACAGCGTTCCTGCCACCAGCCCCCAGCACGTCACAGATCTGTCTGTCTGCTTTGGCTGGAGTTTGACAGGTGTCAGTGAAAAGTGTCTTGCTCAAAGAAAACCAATCCATTCTGACACTTTTTTGAGGAAAGGGTAGCCTTTTATCCTTTGCACAGAGGCCTTGGGAGTGGATCTGGTGTGAGAACCATTTCTAGAGAGAGGCTGAGTCATCAGAAATCGCATCCTCAGAGAGCCAAAAAGGGGCATCACAGCCAGGAATTACCAAATGTTTGAAGAAACTGACATCAGAGTAATACCAGATTCACTGAAGAGAAACTCACGTGTCCAAGGAAGATAAAATAATGGATGGAGTAGACACAGTCTTTAAGAGATACAGACAGGTGGCGCCTGTGGCTCAAAGGAGTAGGGTGCCAGCCCTATATACCAGAGGTGGCGGGTTCAAACCCAGCCCCAGCCAAAAACTGCAAAAAAAAAAGAAAGAGATACAGGCAATGCTCCTTAGATTTAAGAGAGCTGTTGAATCCAAGGAGAGGGAAATGGCCATTTTTTAAAATACTTGTAATATGTTAACATCTTGTAAACTAAATATTGTCAAACTAAAATTCATTTAATGGGTTAAATATTTGCATAGTCTTAAATGAACTAGAGGGGCAGCTAAACCAAGGAACTAACTGTCTTAGAACATAGTCCCAGAAGGAAAGCAACAGAAATTCTACAAGAAAAGTTTAAGCGGCATAGAATACACATCAAGAAGTTCTGATTGGCAACTAGTAAGAGTCATACAAGAAAGTAGCACAGATCGGGGGGAAGCATGTATTTACAGAAACTGATAAAATGCAAATGTCTCTGACGTGAAGTTTCATATTTTAAAAAACTATACCCCAGGCAGAGCAGAATGAATGAAAAAAAAAAGAGAAGAAGCCTTACACTCAGACATGCCATGTTGAAATCTCAGAACATGGAGCATTAAAAAAAGTTCTTGGGGCCAGGCACGGTGGCTCATGCCTGTAATCCTAGCACTCCGGGAAACCAAGGTGGGGGTGAACTCGTTGAGCTCACGAGTTTGAGACCAGACTGAGCAAGAGCAAGACCTCATCTCTAAAAAATAGCCGGGCACTGTGACAGGAGCCTGTAGTCCCAGCTACTTAGGAGGCTGAAGCAAGAGAATTGCTTGAGCCCAAGAGTAAGAGGCTACTGTGAGCTATGATGTCTCCAAAGGACCAAGGGTGACAAAGTAAGACTGTCTCAAAAATAAAAAATAAGTAAAAATAAAAAAAGTTCTTGGGAGCTGACAGTGACAATAGGTACTTGTTATTCACAAAGGAATCACTCAGGGTGGTATCAGCTCTCATTGACAATATCTAATGCTCAGTGACATTGAGGAAATTGATCCAGGGTCCTGAAAGAAAGTTGTTTTTGAACCTAGAATCCTTAGCAGAAAGAGAAAAACAACAGCAACAACAGTAAAACACGGAGAGTAGGAAAGAAGAATCAGCTTACGTGAATAAGTCAGCCACACACATTGGCAGTCACCATAGAGAAGAACTGTCACTGACGCAAAATGCAGACACGATAAGGGAAAGAATAGATCATTTTGATTTAACAGAAGATTAAAATCTGCAGTATAAAAAAGCGACAGGAAACTACTGAGACCAGCCGCAGACTTGGAGGGAAGATTTGCAGCACGTAGGACAAGGCTGAGTATGCCAGGCCTTCATGGAAATGAAGACTCACCTATATGCTCCCCCGAGGCCTTTCCTGGCCACCTTATTTAAAACTGCTACAGCCTGGCCCTGAGTTTACTCTGTCCTTGCCCTGCTAGACTCGGATCCTCGACTCACATTTCCCACTCATCACGCTCAGTCTCAGTCCATCCCAGTGAAGTGGGAGTTTCACAAGGGCAGGGGGCTGTGCGTCTTTAACTCACTGCGATCTTCCTTGTGCTGGGAACGGAATTTTGTTGCAGAGTAGTAGCAGCTGTTCAATATTTTTTTTTAATTTCAGATTAATATGAGGGTACAAACAATTAAGTTACGATGTGCGCATTTGTTAGGGAGAATCCCTGTTGTGGTTGTGTCCTGCATCCAGAAGGTGTGCCACATACCCTTACATTGTGCCCATTCAGTGGGAATACACCCCCCTCTCTTGGTGTGAACTGAGGAAGTAGATTGCCTACTGGCTTCATATTAGTATTGAAGACATTGGATACTTGCTTTTGCATTCCAGTGATACTTTACTAAGAAGAATGTGTAGGTTAATATAAAAGATGTAAACTCTCCATCATTTTTATAGCTGAATAGTATTCCATTGTGTACATACACCATAGTTTACTAATCCATTCCTCGGGTGATGGGCATTTAGGTTGTTTCTCATAATTATTTGTTGAATAAATGGACAGAATACATAAAAGATAACTTACAGAACTTCCAGGCCAACATAAAAAGATATTCACAAATAATCAGAAAACTGCAAATTTAAACTGTGAAGTATTATTTACCTAGGAGCTTACCAAAACAGAAATGGTTTTTACTAAATGCCAGGGAGGAAATGGGGACTTTTATGCAGACTTAGTGGGAGTAGAAATTGGCAAAGCCTTTTGGGATGATGATTGGTATTATAATTTTAAATGACCCAACAATTAACAACTTCAAGACTAAAAAGTATTTTTTTAAAAGAATAAGTATTTGCAGCTGGGTGCCTGTGGCTCAAGTAGCTAAGGCGCCAGCTGCATACACCTAAGATGGTGGGTTTGAATCCAGCCCGGGCCCACCAAACAACGACGGCTGCAACCAAAAAATAGCCAGGCGTTGTGGTGGGCGCCTGTGGTCCCAGCTACTTGGGAGGCTGAGGCAGGAGACTCACTTGAGCCCAGGAGGTGGAGGTTGCTGTGAGCTGTGATGCCACAGCACTCTACCCAGGGGGACACTTGAGGCTTTGTCTCAAAAAAAAAAGAATAAGTATTTGCTAAGTCCAAAAAAATTATATGTATAAGGAGGATAATTATTGTAACATTATTTATAATGGTGAGAATTTCAAATAATCCAAATGTCCAATAGTTGGGATGTCTGCCTAGAGGGCTGCATGCTCTGTACCTCGTGGAAACTCAAAGAACCTAGGGTATATGGGGGAGTGACATAAAAAGAGCTCCATACACACTGTGAAATCTCAAAAAAAATTTTTTTGAAGTGAAGTATAGATAATGTAATCTTGTTTAAGAAAAAGCCAGTGTCCATGTCCATGTATGTAAAGAAGTACCTAGAATACAAACAGAAAAGGTATCAGGGGTGCCCAGCCTGTTTTCTGCCACATATTAGAAGAAGAATTGTCTGGGGCTGCACATTAAATATGTAAACACTAGCAAAAGCTAATGAGCAAAAAAAGAAAAAAGAAAGTCCATGCATATTTTTTGAGATATCTGACACCATACATCAGCGAAACAACCCGCAATAATCCCACGAGCCCCGGGTTAGACATCCCTGGCACCAACTGTTTCCTCTGGAAAGAGGATTGGTAATGAAATGGGATAGTGAAGCAGGCTGTCCCCTTCTTTTCACATAGTTTGTACTATTTAGTGGTAAGATGGAAGCTTAACAATGGCCTTGACTTCAGTGCCTAGTCTGCTTCTGCTATTGACAGATCCTTGCATAGATGAACACATTCGGTTTGTAAAGCTGATACAAATGAGAAAATTGAAGATGTTATGTTAGTCAGCTTGCACAGGTTATAGCTTGTCTTGCTTTGTCCATAGGTATTTTTTGAAGGGATCCGTTTATATTTTAAGAGGTTTTGTTGTACCCAGAATTTCTGAATCCCCGAGCCCACGAAGGGACGAACCGAGACACACTCTGATATAAAAGCAAGAGGCAAGCTTTATTTAGCAAGCTCGAGCTCGGACCCTCTCTTGGCAAACATACCAAGGAAGGCCCTGAGCCTAGGGGATTGGAAAGTTTTATAGGGTACAGAAAGCAAGAAGGGTGAAGAAGGGTGGGGTGCATTTTTGATTGGTGGTCGGGGTATGGGGAAGTATGGGTGATTGGTGGTCAGGGTTTGGGGAAGTAGGGGGAGGCTCTGGATTGGTACAGGTATGAGGGGTGGGGGATTTCCTAACTGGGGTCTTAGGGTGGTATGCAGCAAGAAGGGTGGGGAGCACTTCTGATTGGCTGACTGGGGTGCTTGATTTCAGGGAAAGGCCAGGGTTTGGGGGAAGCGAAGCTTATTATCTAAGATGGCGGCGGGGGCTCAAAATGAGGAACAGAACTTAGGCCATAAACAACAAAATGGCGCTGGTCTGGCCCTCTCAGTTTAACTACTTTTTTTAACCATTAAGACTCCAGTGTGGTCATATTTGTATGTCAATAAATATGTATCTGAGATCTATGTCATCTTTTTTGTTGTTGTTTTGAGACAACATGCTGTGGCATCATGGCTCACTCCAACTCTGGTTCAAGCAATCCTCTTGCCTCAGGTTTTTTTTTCTATTTTTAGAGGGTCTCACTTTAGTTCAGACTGGTCTCGAACTCATTAGCTCAAGCAGTCCACTCGCCTTGGCCTCCCAGAGTATTAGGATTACAGGCATGAGCCACTGCACCTGGTTTTGTTTTGTTTTTTTTTTTTTTGAGACGGACTCTCACTCTGTTGCCCCAGGTTAGAGTGCTGTGGCATCATCACTCACAGCAGCCTCAAACTCTTGGGCTTAAGTGGTCCTCTTGCCTCAGTCTCCCAGGCAGCTGGGACCACAGGCGCCCACTATAATGCCCAGCTATTTTTAGAGACGGGGGTCTCACTCTTCCTCAGGCTTGTCTCAAACATCTGAGCTCATGCAGTTCACCTGTGTCAGCCTTCCAGAGTTCTCAGATTACAGGCATGAGTCACCACTCCCAGCTACATCTTCATATTTAATGGCTGCATTTTATCTCATCTTATGTAGGGCATAATCGATACAGATTATTTGCAGTGTTGGGCTGTCACAAATAAGTTGGAGTAAATATACATATATATTTTGCATATACTTGTTGATAATATCCTTAAAACAAATTCTTAGGTGTATAATTGTGTACTCACAGAAGATGCAAAAATTCTTTTTTTTTTTTTCAGGTAGCTGGGACTATAGGCGCCTGCTATAACACCTAGCTATTTTTAGTAGAGATGGGTCTGGCTCTTGCTCAGGCAGGTCTTAAACTCCTGAGCTCATGCATTCTGCCCACCTTGGCCTCCCAGAACGCTGTAATTATAATCTTGAGCTACCGCACCCAGCCAAGATGCAAATTTTAAATATTGACATTTATTCTCACATTACCTTCCGGAAAAGTTATATCAATTCACATTTGTGCCAACATTGTATATTGGCCTTGGTTAAATTTGCACTTATGTTGTAAATAATAAAAATAATCTCATTTGCATCTTTATATGATTTTGAAATATTATTTGCAAAAGAAAAATGAACAGCCCTCTACCCACATGTGATTCAGTCGGTAAAATGAATATAGTGATATCTTAATTGACCCAATGTTTCATGTGCAAAATTTTGAAATTGTACCAATTACAATTGAAGAACTTAAATATATATTAGAAATTACAGTTATTGTTTACACATATAACATGCCAGGAATATTTTTACTCCCATGTTTTGTACAGAAAATGTCAATATTTTTTAGTCATTTTCTTACATGCTCTGTTCCGAATGGAATAGTGGTGGAAAGACACCTGAATTTCATACAATGAGAAATCACTTAAGTTTGGAATGAGTTACATTGAGAATGTAATTGATTGTAGTCGTACTTGACTTTCAGGTGATTTTTTTTCTCATGACTAATGCAGTCCAACCGGGAAGTAGCCAGAAAGCTCCGAACTTCCTTCATTTCCTCACTTGTCAGGCACGGAAATGGGTAATAAAATGTCTCATAAAGTGACCCCACTAGGGCACAGCCATCGCCTCTCTATGGAGGCTTGAACTTGCCTGGCTCACACTCCCCTTGGGAAGAAGAGAATCAAGCTGGAGCAGAGTGAAGTGGTTCTGTCCAGAGAAAGCGTCCTAGTGGCTGGGTTAAGTTGGGGAGGAAGCCGACCTGCCTTGTGTCCCTTTTAGTTCCTGTCGGACATTGTAAAGCCTGGAGTTGGAGCCAGAATAGTGGGCTAGGGTGTCCCAGTGACTTGTGCAGAAGGTCACTGCCCTCTGGCTTTCTTTAGCTGAAGGCCTCAAGGTCATGTGGCCAGACCCTCTTCGGAGGGTAGCGGGAAGTGGGACTGTCACTGCTGTGCTGAACTCTAGCTCTGAGAAACTGGCCTCAGACGCAGGAAGCCAGCCTCACCTGCCACCTGCTCCTCCCATCCCTGTAGGACGGGCAAATGCAGCCCCCTTGACAGCCTGGTTCCTCGCAGTGGATGTGGGCAGTCGGCCATTCAGTAGTTCAGTCTTTGTGTACCAAGTCCCTCTCGGGTTTGGCACTCTGTGCTGGGGATTAGAGGTTAGCCTGCCCAGCGTGGTCCCCACCTTCGTGGAACGCCCAGTAGTGGAGACATGCATGCGACAGGTAACAGCATCAACAGTCAATTCCACATCAACAACATCAACATCAATCACAAGTCTGAGGCTTTTCACAAGGCAGGCCACAAAGTGCCATGAACCGGTACAGGGGCCTGACCCAGCCAGCTCCTGCTCTCCAGAGCACAGTCCCCTGGGGAGGCCCCTTGCACGCTCTAGACCAGAGTTTTTCAATCTTTTTATCTCACAGCACCCTTGAACCTATAGCTAAACTTCCCTGGCACACTTAAATTATGTGGATGGAAAAAAAAACAGGAAAAAATAAGTTAATTAACGATCTTTAAAAGTGTTCATGGCATACTGGTTGAAAGTCACTCAGAAAGCTGTGGGGTGTATGAGAGCAGCCCATGGAGGATGAACCTGACCCTGACCTCAACCGGAACCTGAACCCTGCAGTTGCTTCGCTGCTGAAATCTGGCAGCTGACCACGACCTGTGCTCTGGCTGGTGCAGGCGCAGTTCGACATCGCGGTGGCCAGCGAGATCATGGCAGTGCTGGCCCTGACTGACAGCCTCACAGACATGAAGGTGCGGCTGGGAAGGATGGTGGTGGCCAGTGACAAAAGCGGGCAGCCTGTGACAGCAGAAGATTTGGTGAGTATGTCAACTAGAAGCTCCAAGGAGCACACAGTCCTTGTTCTTTCATAACCAGGAGAAGGGATGTTTTCTTCCTTTCATTAGTGTGTATAATCAGGATCCAGAGAATTTCTGTACACACATTTCTTTCCCCACCAGCCTCCTTATCTTAAACTTTCCCACTGTTCTCATGGGCACTTACAGTGTGCTGTTAGCTGGCTGCAACCAAAGCACGTGAAATTTATTTCACGAACTTACCACCCTCCTTGCCAATGCTGTGCTCTGCTTCTGCCTGGCCTGGGGTGGTGTCACCCCTCTGTAGTTGGTGGCCTTTTAAAAATGTGCAATCTATGCCTACTTGAAATAGGGGGCAAATCACCTTTCCAAGGAATAGACGTAAGTGGCTCTACCTTCATTAATAGGAAGGTAAGTTAAAATCGGCACCAGCCTAGCTTATTACTTAATCTTATGCTTTAAATTTATGTATCCCACTGTAGAAACAGATCTCCACCGTGGTCAGTCTTAATCCCCTGGCTGCCTCTTAGATGGCACATTATTTCCTATAAAGCTTCCATGGTGCGCCACTGCCTTTCTAAGGGCTTGTTCTAATTTGTCAGTGCCGATCCTTTCCTTCTTTGTAATAACCAGCTTTACTGTTAATCCAAGCCTCACTTCCTTACTTGTGCCACAGACATTTCATTTGCTTGCACATGTTTGTAAGTGCACGGGTGTGACAGAGGCTCTGATTTTTTCCGTTTCGCCTCCTGTTAGGGTATTGAACACTGGTCTCCCACATTCTCTAACTTAAGCTTACTTTCCCACAATAATAGAATTTAAAATGCACACTGATGATTGAAAAGCAATTGTGCATCATCCTTGCGTGGGGCCCTTGCTAATCTCTATATTGTTCCAATTTCAGTATGTGCGCTGCCAAAGCCGGCACTGAAAAACAGTTGTGAACTGAGAAAGGCAAAGTAGTATTTTACTGACTCCAAGGGCTTAGGGAGTATTTTGAATTTTTTCCCGAAGTTTCTTGATTACTTTTTGGCTGCTTTTGAAGAAATGAATCCAACTGATTTCATCTGATAGGTCTTATCAAGAAAATTAAATGGATATGTTTATTTATGTCAGCAGCCCTATGGAAGACTGAATACTTAAAGAGAAAACCCAAATCCAGGTTGCTGTAAAAGTGCAGCTTTTTAAAATTCACCAAAATCTCACTATTTGTACCTAAACTAACATATTACAGTTTCTGCAATAGAGATGGATAGAGGCAAAATGCCATCTCCTGTGACCAAGAGGTGCCCATGGGGACACCCACCCCAGAGCAGGCTGGAGAGAAATGATGGAGGGATGATCTTTTCTCGGGGGTCTAAATGTTTTTCTTCTCCTTTAGGGGGTGACAGGTGCTTTGACAGTTTTGATGAAAGATGCAATAAAACCAACTCTCATGCAGACCCTAGAAGTAAGTGGTCTTCTTTCCATAGTAGTTGTTCATAGAGCTTGTGTTAATTAAATTGCTTTTCTGTTACCACACACCAGGAGCATGCCTAGCCAGTGTGATGAAGGCTGGATGTTTCAGAGTTAAGTTTCTGGTTATCCCCCCAAAATTAAATGTATATTCATAGAGGCTTTGATATGATCCATGTCATGGATTAATTGACCCAAGTAGAAGCTTTAGTCAATGTCTAATATTTCAGTAGGTTGTAAAGTCACATTTATATTCTGTTTTCTGTTTTACATTTTTTAAATTTAATCTCTCAGTCATTAAGTGTTTGTTTGTTTGGTTTTGGTTTTGTTTATTTTACATTTCCAAGCAAAACACAGTAAATGCTAAGAAATGAGGCACGTATGCTATACTCCACTCTTTATTTTGTATGTAGCTTGGCTCATTTTTTGTTTTTTTGTTTTTTATTTTTGTTTGTTTTGAGGCAGAGTCTCACCTTGTTGCCCTCAGTAGAGTGCTATAGCATCATAGCTCACAGCAACCTCAAACTCTTGGACTCAAGTGATTCTCTTGCCTCAGCCTTCTAAGTAGCTGGGACGATAGTGCCCATCACAATGCCTGGCTAGTTTTAGAGACAGGGTCCCACTCTTGCTCAGGCTGGTCTCGAGCTCCTGAACTCAGGCAATCCACCTGCCTCGGCCTCCCAGAGCGCTAGGATTACAGGCGTGAGCCCAGCCCCTTGCTCTTTTCTTTATTGAACTTAATTTTTTTGTCAAGTTATCTCTATTTTCATCTTGCTTTCTGCTCACTGGTCGTATTAACTTGATTTAGTTATTGTCCGATTCCTTCCTCCTGGCAAATGAGACCCCGGAATTTGGGCCCAAAACAGTGTCAGGATCAGGCTGAGCAAAGAGACACAAGGAAAGAGACAGGAGAATGGGAGGGGGTTGGGAGGGCAGTTTTGTCCTGCTGAGTGTTTTAACAACCGCACTGGGTGGTGAGGGGATCCCTGTTATAACATTTGCCAGTTTCCATGGTGCGAATAATCCCACCTTCTCACACCTCTAACATTATTTCCCACTCTGAAAGTGTAGTTTCCACTTAATGAAGGAATTGGTAGGTTGGATTGCCCCAAGCAGTTCTCACTATGCTCATTTTTTTTTTTTTATGCCTGTCTTTCATTTAAGCCATAGGCTGTTTTAAAATTACTTTAAAAGATAATGGGCCTATTTTAAAAATAAAACAGCATTCACTTAAAATATTTGGATGCAGGAACTCTGCTACCCTGATCCTGTGTAGTCACTCTGGATTTACTTAGCTAATCATCTACGAGGAATCTACATTAGACAATACTCTAAAAATCACGGATTGCTTTCAGGGTGTCCTTGAGTACTTGCATTTGAGCACACTTGATTGTCCCTCCCGTAGGAGCTCCTCAAAGGCTGCCTCACTGCACCTTGGAGGAGACCAGTAGCTCCCCATGCTAGCTGCACTCCGGAAGATGTGCGAATACTAACTGATACCACCCCGACTCCAGTGAGCCAGAATGTCTGCAGGTAGTGCCTGGGTACCCCAGGTGTACAGCCAGGCTGAGGACCCTGGGGAAGACTAAATTAAGACAAGAAACAGATGAGTGGTCTTATCATTTTCCCATGGGCCAGCCGTGGGCAGTACTGACAGAAACACCGTCTGCTGGAGTGTGCTGTCCAGTGTGGTGACCACTGGCCACAGGTGGTTATTTCAATTTAAATTAATTGAATTTAAATAAAAGTTAAAGTTTAGTCCTGGAGTCATTTTATCCACATTTCCATTTATGTATGCATTTAGTTATTAGAAAAATTTTTTCTTTTTTTGCAGTTTTTGGCTGGGGATGGGTTTGAACCCACCACCTCTGGCATATGGGGCTGGCGCCCTACTCCTTTGAGCCACAGGTGCTGCCCCAGAAAATTTTTTTAGTAGCCACCCGGGGTAGGTGGCTGTGGTATTGGGCAGTGTAGATGGAGACTCTTTTCAGTAGTGCAGGACTTTCTTTTGGACAGTGTCCTTTTAGAACCCTAGTAAGCAAATGAGTAATTGAAATATTAATCTTGTTTAATGCTAGAAAAGCCCATTATGGAGACTATTTATAGCTTCGTCATGATGAGAAGCCAAGATAGTTCCTGTATTACTTTCCTAAGTGTTCTGTGTATAAAATAAACCTCTGAACTCACAATGAGCTATTTCATGCCTGAAAGTTATTCATAGAATTGAGACAGTACCTTTAACTCTATGTATTATATTTTATAGCTACATTCATCACTGAGTGTGTTTGTGTGTGTGTGTCCCTGTGTTTGAATGTCTAACAATCATGTTCTCAAAATTATTTCTCAAATATGAATCTGGGAGTTTTAAAACTGAGGCTCTACTCTCAATTTAATTATTAATCTGCTCTTTGACCTTGAAGAATTCCCTTAGCCTCTCTAGCACTTACGTTTCCCATGTAAGGGAGACACTTTCTCTTTTTCTGTAACTTCTACTGAAAACAAAGCTATAAAATGTTTTTGCCAAGAAGAGAGTAGGATAGCGGTTACCAGAGGCTGGGGGCTGGTGAGGGTATGGTGGGGAATGGGAAGAAGTTGACCAATGGGCACAAAACTTTAGTTAGACAGGGGAGAGTACATTTTTAAGCTCTGCTGCACACCAAGGTGACTATAGTTAATAATAATGTATATTTCAAAAATACTTAAAGAATAGACTTTAAATGTTCTTATTACAAAAAAAAAGAAAGGTGAGATGATGGATATGTGAATTGGCCTTATATAATCATTCCATGAGGAATACATATATCAAAACATAACATTATACCCCATAAATATATATAATTCTTACTGTCAGTTCAATAAAAATTTAAATTAAAAATGCTTTTGTAGTACATTCGTATATAACCTGAAAGGTAAGCTAATGTAAAAGAGACAAGTTCTTTTCTTCTGTACATATTGCTGAGGGTGTGGCTATCCCAGGAACAGTGCTGTCTTTGTCTGATCCAGCCACACGCTGTCACTTGTGCCCCCCTGGAGCCCAGTGCACAGTGCTCCTCAGGCAGATGGCCTTGGTGAGGGCTGTAGGCTGTAGGGGAGGGAAGCCAGCTGCCTGTACAGGGTTGGAGCCTCTGACCTTGTTTGTGGTCAACTGTCACCAACTCCATCCTTATCACAGGTAGCAACCTTCTAGAATTGGCAAGATTAGACGATGTTAGAGATTTTCAAATTGTCTTCAGGGTTCTTAAAAGGATTATGTCTATAGAAGTGAGGAATTATAGATGGTAAGATAGAGATTCTGACACTAAACATTCATGATACACAACAGATCCACATGGCTATCTGGGTTTGCTGGTCCTAGGTTTATTAAGGAGTTTATTTCCATATCAATGTGTATGACCTTTATCAGGGCCTGTGTGATTTTCCCCCATGACGACTTTGGGAGGAAAAGTAAATAGAGAGCTCAGCATAGTGGCTTTGATAATCTATCTTATTCGTTCTCAGAGATGACTTTTCCTTCTCTGTGCTTTTGTTCAGCTCTCTCGTCTTTCAGACGCAGTCAGCTAACAGCCCACTGTGGTTCCTGAGAATTTCTCAGGGCTCCCAGCGCCTGAGGCCCTGCATTACTCCCTGCCCTCCCCATGTCCCTGCAAGGGCAGCTTCTGTTTTCACAGATGTAGCCGAGGCCTCATCCACAGACCCCACTGGACCTGGCTGGGCTCTGAATAAAACCTGAACATTTTAATACATGTGGATAAATTCTTCTTGGACAGGGTTAAGGTCTATTATCAATAAAGGAAAAGGGAAAAGTATAGAAATGGGTATTTAAAATATATACGTGGAGAGATTTTGCTTAAAGAATTAAAATCTGGGGCAGCACCTGTGCCTCAAAGGAGTAGGGTGCCAGCCCCATATACCAGAGGTGGCAGGGTCAAACCTGGCCCTGGCCAGAAACTGCAAAAAAAAAAAAAAAGAATTAAAATCTGAAGTTTTTGATGATTCTCTTTTATTTCTTTTGTCCTTTTTATTAGTAATAATTACTCTTTTAGTATGAGTGAAATTTGTCTTTGCTTTTTTTTAATCTTAATAGTTACCAGATTTCTAACGTAGAAGACAATTAAACAATGAGAAAGACTTAGAATGTTTAAAAATCAAAGCAACAACTTGCCTACTAAAATAAAAATAGCTTATAAACTTAAGTATTACGTAATTGGCCTTTCATGACATCCACAATTTATTGTCTTAATTTTTATGCTTACTTTTGTGATTTGACTCATTTCTTTTTCTTTTTGTTTTGTTTGTTTGAGACTGAGGCTCACTCTGTTAACCAGGCTAAAGAGCCATGGCCTCAGCCTCGCTCACAGTCTTCCTGGGTTCAAGGGATCCTTCTGCCTCCATCTTCTGAGTCGCTGGAACTATAAACATCTGCCATAATGCTCAGCTAATTTTTTTTCTATTTTTAATAGAGATAGGGTCTCGCTCTTGCTGAGGCTGTTCTCAAACTTGCTAAGGCTAAGGGATCCTCCCCTTTGGCCTCTCAGAGTGCTAGGATTATAGGCCGAGCCACTGTGCTCACCCATCAAATAATTTCTTAATTAAAGCAAATAAATACACCTCTTAAGACCTCAAAGTCTAATTCCATACTATTCAAATATATAAGGCAGAGCAAAATGAAATTAGGTGAGTAGTTTTTGTCCTGGTCACTGAGGCAGCTAACACAAGGGCTTGTCATAATTATGGAAGGAAAGGACTGTATGCTTATAGCTTTTTCTCCCTGGCTCAGCATTAAATTTACCACGATACTATTCTGGAATACATAGGAAATCCATTCCTTTGACCAGATCAGTGTGTTTAATGCTTTCTTTTAAAGATTCTATGTATTAAGTATATGGTATTGATGAAAGTGGGATGACTTGATTGAGTCTTTAAATAGCCTGCATTCCTTGCCACCTTGCTGGACACAAGTTCATCTTTGTTTCTGTGTTTCTGGGGAACTTTGGGGATTTTAACTTGTTCTTCTGCTCCTCTAGGGGACACCTGTATTCGTGCACGCTGGCCCCTTTGCTAACATTGCTCATGGCAACTCTTCAGTGTTGGCTGATAAAATTGCCCTGAAACTGGTTGGGGAAGAAGGATTTGTGGGTAAGTCGTTTCTTTTAAATTTAGTTCTTGCAGAATATTGAAGAAATTGAAAACACGATGATTGCCCTAGAGTGATATCTGTTCTGATACGAAATGTGTTCTTTTAGCCACACCCCCTTTCCTAGATGGTCTCAATATTGGAAAAGCCCTAAGGTCTGGTCTATAGTAGTGAAATTATGTTGTGGTTGAACTATAGAGTCTGATATCAAACACATATGACTTTGAATATAAGCTCAGATACTTTACAACCAAGTGACCTTGGACACATTTTATTACTACTGAGCCTCAGTTTGCTCATGTGTAAAACTGTGATACAGATACTGCATCAGGCTCAGCACCTGTAGCTCAGCAGCTAGGGTGCCAGCCACATACACTGGAACTGATGGGTTCAAACCCAGCCCGGGCCTGCCAAACAACAATGACAACTATAACAACAACAAAAAAATAGCTGGGCGTCGTGGCAGGCACCTGTAGTCCCAGCTACTTGGGAGACTAAGGCAAGAAAATCACTAAAGCCCAAGAGTTGGAGGTTGCTGTGAGCTGTGACACCACAACACTCTACCAAGGGTGATATAGTGAGATTCTCTCAAAAAAAAAAAAAAAAACTATTACATCAAACCACATAGGGTTGTTGTGAAAACTAAATGAGATCATTTAGCCGCTCAGCAAGTATGGATAGAGAACCCACCACGTACAAAGCGTGCTCCTAGATCTAGGGATATAGCGGTGAGTGAAGCAGACTGAGCACAGCTTCCCGCTTATTTGTGTCCCAGCAGCTCTAGAGGCTGAAACGATAGAATCATTTGAGCTCATAGTTCAAGTCCAGCCTAAGCAACACAGCAAGACCTCATCTCTATTTTTTAAAATTAAAAAATGAAAAACCAGACCAAGTCCCTGCCCTCCTGGAACATGCTGTCTAATGGCATATACACTTTAAACACTTACAAACCAATGGGCATGGCAGGGGAGTGTTTAGTAGGAGAAAGTGGTCATTGAATGTTAGCCATTACTGCTCTTACTGTGTGGCAGTAATGACTTGAAATGAAGTTTTCTCCTTGCTTACGTGTCCTAATGGAGGTGAGATTCCCAGCTAATAGACTTAGGAATCATAATTGACAGGACTCTTTTGCTGCCGTCCAGCTCTTTGTAGAACCTGCTCCTGTTTGGCTTTTGTTGTGTATTCAGCTGGACAGAAGGGACAGCCATCACAGAGCCTGTTCAGCCATTACCAGCCGCAGTCTCACCCAGGGTATTAAGGCTTCAAGGAGACAAACAAAAACCCCCAAACACAGGCATTCACAGAGCAGTACCTTAATCTGACATCTGAGGGATTATGTTGGCTAATTTGACATGCTAACAGATAAATACCATTAACCGTATGTCTGCCTTAATCTGGGACAGCAGTCTCTTCTCTCACACTTATTAGCAGCCTTGGATCAAACTCACAAGTGAGTTTTATTCCTAGAAAAGATGGTGCTGGATAAGTGAGCTTAGCTCTGCAGTCTTACACTCAGACATCATGAAGTTCATTCAGGGTTATTGAGACTCTTCAAGAATTCCTGATAGGGTGGCGCCTGTGGATCAAAAGGGTAGGGCACTGGTCCCATATGCCGGAGGTGGCGGGTTCAAACCCAGCCCTGGACAAAAAAAAAAAAGAATTCCTGATAGGTAGTCGGGATGTACGTGTGTAGACGAGGATTTATGTAGCTCCAGTCCTCAAAGGTCCTGCCTTCTCCAGCTCTCATGTACTTTGCTGCCTCAGGATCAAGTCATCTACTAGAGAGGCTAGACGCTGTCTGAGTGGACTTGCTCAATTGATCACTGCATAATTGTAGCGCTAATGGAAAAGGAGGCTGGGTCGGGGCGGGCACTGAAAGGCTGGGAGCTTAAGTGAAGTGGTAGTGCTGAGCTTCTAAAGGAAAGCGCTCCATTTTATGCTGACAGCGCTCTCTCCCCCCACAGCTGTCCTTTGTCAAACACATATATGTGTTATCATGGCAAAGTATTTGTAAAGGTAGAAGGCGCTGGTGTATGCACAGCAAACGAGCTCTCTGCGTGACCTTGGACAAGCCGTTAGTCTCCCGGGGTGTGTCCCTTGTAGACATTCTCATCTGAAAAATGGCAAGGTGGACCAGATGTGGAGCCAGATTTGGGTGGGTAGCCGTGGGCCTCGACTTAGAGCCATGGGATCAGGGCCCTACCTGGAAGCACCTATGATTGACGTGATTGCCTCTTTTGATAAAAGGAGAACACCTGTGTGATGGTGCGTCAGTGAATAGTATCAGATGAGAACACACTTGGTGAAGCCCAGAGGGCCATGCACGGCTCAGCACTGTTTTTTTTTTTTTTTTTTTTTTTTTGAGACAAAGCCTCAAGCTGTCCCCCTGGGTAGAGTGCCGTGGCATTACAGCTCACAGCAACCTCCAACTCCTGGGCTCAAGCGAGTCTCCTGCCCCCGCCTCCCAAGTAGCTGGACCACAGGCGCCCGCCACAACGCCCGGCTATTTTTTGGTTGCAGCCGTCATTGTTGTTTTGGCAGGTCCAGGCTGGGGATTCGAACCCGCCACCTTAGGTGTACGTGGCTGGCGCCTTAGCCGGTTGAGCTATAGGCGCCGAGCCTCGGCACTGTTTTTAATTATTCCTGTGAACCCTTCCAGCCCATGCGGCTGTGAGTGGGGAAGCTTCCAGACGGATTCAACGTTCTGTCTCACCTCGGAATTTTAAGTTATATAACCTCAAGCAGGTTAACCTGTCTCTGCCTCAGTATTCTTACCTGGAAAATAGTGATTTTGAAGGGACTTGCCTCGTGATTGAAATGAGGTTTAAATGAGCTCATGTGTCGAATCCTGGCACCTGACACAGGGTGTGACTCTTATAACTACTTGACTGGCGAAGGTTACATTTCCTTTTTTGAATTTAGTTTATTTTATGGGGAACTGTAACTTTATATTCATTTATGTGTAATTACTCAAGACTATAATTAACAGGCACTTGCAGTTTGTGGGCCTTTTTTGAAAAACCGAAGATGTGAACTTTATTACAAATTAAAAATAAAGGTCTTAAAAAATCTCATTTACCAGATATGGAACAATTTAACAACCTTCAAAGATGTACTGAGAATACCCAGGCTTTTTTTTGTTGGTGGTGTTTTTTAAAGACATGTTTGTTATTACCAAAAGAATCAACTTTAGGTTAAAAAAAAGACAAACCATGCTGCTTAGATGGTTGTAGTTACCTGGTCAACCGGTGACAAGCTCTCATCTTCTGTGCGTTTCTTACTGCTGGGATTTCTAGCCATTTCTTCTTGCAGGATGAGGGTAGAGATGGTAAGAGGCGTTTACTCAGCACCCCTCACCCTGCCCAGTCTCACAGTGGACGGAGTCTCAGCCGGTGGATCGGTGGCTTTTGTCTCTTTACTACTTGTGGTTTAGGGTTTTCTGGGCGTCTGTGATAACTGGGGTTGGGGCAGTACCAGCCTTGAGGTGGCCACTGACCTTGAGTCTCGCCTCCTTGATTCTCTTTATCTTCTTCCTTGGCATCCTCTCTGGGCTCTTTGGCAGGAGGCCCCCTGCAGAATCATGGTCTATAACCCCAGTGTATACACACACACACACACACACACACACACACATATATATATACACACATATTTTGTCTTACTGGTCTACCTTATTCTCCTGCACTCAGCTTGTCAATACCCTCTATCCCTTCTCCCTGCACAGAAGAACTCTGTGGTCAATGCCCGCGGAGGTCTGTGCATGGAATAAGGTGAGAATCTTCCCCTGCAGTAGGGCTGGCATTGCTGGGCCTGGCCTTTGGGAGCACGCCCTGATCCCAAGTTCCTGTCCCCACTCTCACTGCCCTGGTAATTTCTGCTGGTGATTGTGTAGAGGGCCCCTGCCCACTGGGTAGCATCTATCATGGTTATGGTCTGCAGCGTATTTATTGCCTTGAACTGGAACTACACACCAGGGCCTTGAGAGATGATAGAATTCTTAGATAGAATTTCCTTCATATTACTGATGTTGCTGGGGTACATTTAATCTCATATTTTGTTCTTACAAAAAGCAAACACAAGGGATTTTTTTTCTCCTGTGAATAGTAAGTCTAAGGTAATGGAATCAATAGTCCATTTAGACTTAAAATAGAGTGACATTTATTAATTAATTGCATGAATTTGTCATACTAGAGCCAAACACTTCATGAGAATTTTGGGGAAAGTGCTGTGCTCACCGCGATGGCCGTTTCTCCCCTCAGTCAGCAGTCCTCGCGGGAGGCCCCTAACTTCCATTTGCTGCTGCCATAAAGGCAAACATTTATTTGGTATCAAACTTAAATAAAAAAAGAGAGAGAGGGAACAGAGAAGGGAAAGGAAAAAAAACAATATTGAGACCCGGGGTGGGGGTGGGGGTGTGTTGTTATACCATACATAAAGTATATATAGGAATTGCAAAGTTACACGTGAACCTTGAATTTTTTAAATTTGTTTTCTGTTCTCTTAATGGGTTTTGGTTCCAGTTTTTGGCCTTTGCTGGGGAGTGCAATGAACACTTACAGCCCAGGGTCCTTGACGGAGGGTCACTGGCCCCCAGGGGATCTGTGGATAGAAAGACTTGTACCGACAAACCCTTCTTATAATTAAATACAGACTTATAGGTGTGTGTGTGTGTGTGTGTGTGTGCCCCCTTTTTTTAACTGGAGAAAAACTTTTTAATTCTCATCAAATTCTCAAAGGGGGCCATGGGTGAGGAAAGATGAGATGTGTGAGGGTACATTTTGTAGCCTCACGGCCATTGTTTAACCTCCCTGACTACCGTGAGCTTTGCTCAGGTGCCTCGCAATGTTCTGTCCATGTTGCTCTCTACAGGGAATTACACAGGTGCTTCCTGGGAACGTGAGCATAAACACACTCCCGGCAGACGGGAAATGTGAGACTGCTGCCCAGTTAAAGCACGCAATGATCTCGGCCTCAAGCGTTTCAGGATTAGGATTTAGAGATC